CCCGCCGACCTCCCAAATACGTACCTTTTTTGGGTCTGAAAACGCCAAAGGGCACGTATTTCGGAGGTCGGGCCGTTCCCGGACCGGACCCTCCCCCCGCCCGCCGACCTCCCAAATACGTACCTTTTTTGGGTCTTTTTGGGCCTGAAAACGCCGTAAAGGGCACGTATTTCGGAGGTCGGGCCGTTCCCGGACCGGACCCTCCGCCCGCCCGCCGACCTCCCAAATACGTACCTTTTTTGGGTCTTTTTGGGACGTATTTCGGAGGTCGGGCCGTTCCCGGACCGGACCCCCCCCCCAGCCCGCCGACCTCCCAAATACGTACCTTTTTTGGGTCTTTTTGGGCCTGAAAACGCCGTAAAGGGCACGTATTTCGGAGGTCGGGCCGTTCCCGGACCGGACCCCCCCCCCCGCCCGCCGACCTCCCAAATACGTACAAGTCACATTTTTTGGGCCTTTCCGGCCTGAAACACCGCAAAAAAGTGACTTTTTGTGCCGGGCCTCTTCCCGTAAGCCCTAAGCCCTAAGGCGCAGGAGGGGGGTTTGAACTGGCAACCTTGCGGTTATAAGAGCTGCGCCTTATGCCACTCGGCTAATGAAACCTAAAAACCTCTGCCCGGCCTGAAACACCTCAAAAAAGGTGACTTTTTGTGCCGGGCCTCTTCCCCTAAGCCCTAAGCCCTAAGCCCTGAGGCCTGAGCCCTGAGCCCTGAGCGGGTCTTTTTGGGCCTGAAAACGCCGTAAAGGGCACGTATTTCGGAGGTCGGGCCGTTCCCGGACCGGACCCCCCCCCCGCCCGCCGACCTCCCAAATACGTACCTTTTTTGGGTCTTTTTGGGCCTGAAAACGCCGTAAAGGGCACGTATTTCGGAGGTCGGGCCGTTCCCGGACCGGACCCCCCCCGCCCACCGACCTCCCAAATACGTACCTTTTTTGGGTCTTTTTGGGCCTGAAAACGCCGTAAAGGGCACGTATTTCGGAGGTCGGGCCGTTCCCGGACCGGACCCCCCCCCGCCCGCCGACCTCCCAAATACGTACCTTTTTTGGGTCTTTTTGGGCCTGAAAACGCCGTAAAGGGCACGTATTTCGGAGGTCGGGCCGTTCCCGGACCGGACCCCCCCCCGCCCGCCGACCTCCCAAATACGTACCTTTTTTGGGTCTTTTTGGGACCTGAAAACGCCGTAAAGGTACGTATTTCGGAGGTCGGGCCGTTCCCGGACCGGACCCCCCCCCCCGCCCGCCGACCTCCCAAATACGTACCATTTTTGGGTCTCGGTGAGCCGCTAATGAAGCCCCTACACCCTAAACCCTAAACCCTAAACCCTAAACCCTAAACCCTAAACCCTAAACCCTAAACGCTAAACGCTAAACGCTAAACGCTAAACGCTAAACGCTAAACGCTAAACGCTAAACGCTAAACGCTAAACGCTAAACCCTGAACTGAACCCTAAACCCTAAACCTTAAACCCTAAACCCTGAACCCTGAACCCTAAACCCTAAACCCTAAACCCTAAACCCTAAACCCTAAACCCTAAACGAAATAAGACATGGGAGGTGCGACCTGTGAAATAGATAGAGGCGTGCCGTTACGGCTTTACGTCCTTTTCCAGGTTCAAGTGACCCCAAAAAGGGTCGGGGGTGGGGCGGCTCGAGAAAATGGGACGCAAAACAAGGAAGGGAACCTTCCCCTTCTTCATGAGGCCACTCTCGAAATGCATACCCTTCAGGGCCTAGGAATGTTTGGTCCTGGGCTCAAATCCCTTCTGATTGGGGAATAGGAACCTTTTACGGTTCGGTTTCTATTTCGGTTCGGTTCGACGGTTCCGGTTTTACTATTCGGTTCGCAGGTTCCGGTTCTGACGGTTCCGGTTCCACGGTTCGCGGTTCGGTTCCTTCGCTTCCTGCTTTAAGTCTATTCTAAAAGGGTACCCCGTGAGGGTTTAGGGTTTTGGGTTGCCTAAACCCTAAACACTAAACCTCAAACCCTAAACCCTTAAACCGTTAAACCCCAGGTGAGCCCTTCAACCCGCCGATCTACAGCAGCCTGACCTACAGCATCCAGGCAGTTTGCCTTCTCGACTCGATCCTGTTTCGTGGCTTTGTGTTGTTTTTGGGTTTAGTGTTTCAGGGTTTTAGGGTTTTAGGGTTTTAGGGTTTCAGGGTTTCAGGGTTTCAGGGTTTTAGGGTTTTAGGGTTTTAGGGTTTTTAGGTTTTAGGGCATTGTGGCAGCGAGCTCGTACATCCAGCTTTTGTAACCCTCCTCTACCCCTAGAGCGCAAGAAGCCTAGAAGCGAGGGTTCAAGACTTTAGGGGCTGTGTAGGGTTTAGGGTTTAGGGTTTAGGGTTTAGGGTTTAGGGTTTAGGGTTTAGGGTTTAGGGTTTAGGGTTTAGGGTTTAGGGTTTAGGGTTTAGGGTTTAGGGTGAAATGGTAATTTTGCAGCTGTTTCTTATAGGAATGATATAGTGCCCAAGAAATACAAGTTATTCCCAAGCATCCCTAAGCTTCAGGGCTGTGTCGGGTTTTAGGGTGAAGGGTTTCGATGTGCGTGCGGGCTTTGCTAATGTGGATCCCATGACATGAACCAAAAAGTGTGGTTCCAGTATGCTGGATCCCGAACGACGCACCAGGGCAACTGACTCCTAGTGGCTAGTTTAGGGGGTTAGGGTTTAGGGGTTTGTTTAGGGTTTAGGGTTTAGGGTTTAGGGTTTAAGCCTTGGCTTCGGAATATATTTGAATAGGACTTCAGCAGATGGGAAGAACTGAAAAGACTGCTGGGATGTGAGACCTGCATGTGAACCAAACCCCATCCTACCGTGGATGGAGGAAATCCTGCACTGCTTCTGAAGCATACACAAGTGGCCTCGACCGACGCCCCTTCGTAACATTGTCTTGAAATCAGAAGACGTGCGCTTTTGTTCCAACGGCATAGCTCGTGTGCCGCCCATGACACCAGCCAATGTCCCTGTGCTAGGGACGTCACCTTTTGACTCTAGTTTAGGGTTTCGGGTTGCGGCTTTAGGGTTAGCAGCTTTGGAGAAGGGGGAGAGTAGCCTTATGAGGACTTTGGGAGGGGCGCGCCCGGACCCTTGATTTTCAAGACCCCTCGAGCCTTAACGGGAGCCGCACAGCGCCGAACTGAGCCACTTGGAGCGTAGGGTAGGGCAGGGATGTTCGGTTTCAAGCTTCAACCTCCTTAAGCCCAAGCCCTAAACGGGTTTAAACCCTAAACCACGCTTCATAAAGCAGGTGAAGTGCCACCATGGCATCGCACGTGCCACTTGGCTCGCCGAAGCCTTTCCCTCCACACCCGAACGTTCCACTGTGCACTCCCTAGACCATACACGGAGAGTCCTGAGCGCCACGTGCTACATAGCCCAAAGGTATGTGCCCTTTTGTTTTTGTGTTGTAGGTTCCCTGATAGAGCAGCCAACAAAAAAAAGGGTGCCGGGCACCAGGAGGTGCCCTTATTGAAATATAGTTACGGGTCTACCAAGGCGACGTGGAGGCCTTGCAAGCTTCAACCAGCAATGACTTAGCGAGAACTAGTTTGGGTGTAGGCTTCATAGTTTCGGGTTGAGGGCTTAGGCTTCTTGGTGAGTTTTCGTCAGGGCTGCATAGAAGAGGCCAGAGGTAGGGTTTCGGAATTGGTTTCGAACTCAACCCCTCAAACACCGCGGCCTCAAGATTCGGGGGGCTACCAAGCCTCGAAGGCTGAGTCTTGAGCCTTGTTCATGAAACAAGTGCCAGAGCCCTCGGCTTTCAAAATGTTTCAGGGTTTCGAAGTGCTTCGAATCTGGGTTTCACAGTTGAGGGTTGATGGCTCAGGCTTACCCAAAGCGTCAAGCACCAAAGCCCACACAAAGCAGCCTGAGGTCACCCGAAAAGTGGGCGACAACATTTGGGTCTTAGCCAGCCCAATTCACGCAGCCCCGGCTGCAACAAGCTCGTTGTTTTGGAGTACTGAATGCTGCATCTGAGGTGCGTTGCATGTTCAGTTCTCCAGATGCGTCCCGTTTGGGGTCCTGTTATGGTGCGACAACTTGTTTGTC